CCATGCTGCTTTGTTTACATGGCATGGCCTGGTGGGAAGGTGACGTGACCCCCTTTCCGTTGCTTTGATTGGTTAATCTGATCTGAATCTGATTAAAAGGCTCGAACGGCGGGGCTATTTATTTTGATGTTTCGGCATAAATACTACCGCAATTATCTATATGTTGCCGCACCTCTCGGTTGCCGAATTTATTGTGGATATTCTTTTACTGTTTATCTTAATGCACCGTGAAAATTGTTTGGCCACATCACATATTGAAGGAAAGAGCTTTTCTAAACGCTTTTATGCATATCAGGTGGGGGACTACTAGTCCTATGACTAAGAAGCCCAGACTCCATCCTAATTAAGGCCTGCTGGGCCCAGTCTTAATGGTGTCTTTGCATTGTTAACAGCATAAGACCAAGTTAATTGGCCAAGCTGCCAGTTTGTTTGTATGGCATGTGTAGGGGATGTCTTAGATCAAGGCACATATTATGATACTTGCAGGTGTGGCAAATGAGATATAGTTGTATTTCATTACCTGTGATTTGTAAAATACATCTGAGGATGATACTTTAAAATGGTTGGGCTGCCATTTGTTAGTGTGTTATTATGCTGACAACATGACACAACCTATCTGACAACATGACACAACCTTTAACGGTATGCTTACATTCGTTCAGGTGACAACAATCCGTGGATAAACACCTCACCGTAGCTATAGGTTGTGCGAAACAAAAATCTAAAATACTGAAATAAGCGGACAGTTCTATTATTTCACCCACCTATTCCATCATCTGTCACTTGATTCTTGCTCATATCGAGGTGTTCTAGTCCTTGTAATCGAGCTATGACGTCAGGGATCTTCGTAAAACTATTGCTTCCTAGTTGCATCCTTTTCAAACATTGCAAGACACGCATTGCGTCTGGCAAATCCTCCAAGTTATTACCTGTTAGAAAAAGACATCGTAATTTCTCCGTGAAGACGCATTTCTCTCCGTGTAAGTTGGGGATACAAGGCAGTTGCAGAAAACTCAAAGACAATGTTCGTAGTTCGAGCATTTTAACGAGGAGGTCCCAAATTTTCTCATAATTCTTCTCTTGAATGATTTGATTGACATGGTCTTCTGGTAAATCAGATGAAATATAAAGTTCGGTAAGATGATCGGGATTAGCACGGCCATCTTCTTCAATGGGAGGTGAAGATGGCTCGTCTTCTCTTACGTCGCGTTGAAACTGGTACTCATGTACACAACTGAAAAAGTGTTGGTCTACATTTACATTGGCCACAGCAGATTCGTCGCTGTCATTGCTTACTGAACTCTCAATAGTTTCAGTTGAGAGCTTATTTTGCTCCACATCATCCATTTTGCTACACATTTGAAGAGAGTGGAGGTATTACTCGCAGACTTGCGGTCCGCATTACAGGTATGACGTGTAGGAAATTTCTACAAAAATACCCTGCAATGTTTTGTAATACTGAAATGTGATCCATAAATAGCAGTACGGAAAATCCAATATTCACGCAAAGATAAATATAGGCCTAGATTACAGCCTTTTGTATTGTGACCTGAGCATTCTCTTTTTCTAAAGGGTTATTTTTAGAATAGACTTGAGAGATAAATAAGTCTCTTTCAGAATATTTGTGTAGGGACTACATTATAGTAATGTAAATAAGCTCTTGTGGATTGAGAAATTAACTGTCTATGCACGGATTATACACATATTAAAACTGAGCAAAATAATTTAAAGAATTGGTCTATATTTGTGTCATATCAAGTTTCTCGTTTTGAAAATTCTGAAAGAAAATGTTTGGCGCGTTGTTTCATTAAATCACTTTAAGTAACCGTTAATTGCAAAAATCTAACTGAGCGAAATTCGTAAAGAAAATGTAGAACGTGTTAAAAAATCAGACAGTTAAAATATAAATTCTGAGGAGTTTACTTATGGAAATTTCAATAAACGCGTGAATCGTCTTCCTTTATAAGTGTCTATCTATATTTCATGAAGTAGAAAGACAGAAAGAAATATAAATATGCTTATGCTGTATCGTAAAATTGGATGGAAGTCCTGTCTTTTCTATCAAAATGCCTCCCCAGTCCGTTCATTCGACCTATAAAAGCTGATATATATATATATATATATATATATATATATATATATATATATATGCCCAGTCACGTAATATCAAGTATGTTGACTTTGAAATGCGTTTTTAATTTAATTTATTAATTTTTGTTGTGTGTGTGTGTCATTATGACTTCATCAACCCCTAATCCTTTTTCCTTTTTTCGAGATGTAGACTTATTGTGCCTTCTCATAAACCAGAATATAATTCAAACCGAAGCGAAAGTAGGTGACCTCTTCATCATTATGTAAATCGGCTGAGCGTTCTTAGTGACAGGTGCTCAGTTAGGATCAAGGTCGATACAAGATGGGGAAGAAGGGTGTCCCATGCCATTTTACTGCTACTGCCACATGTAAGCCGAACAGATGGCACTGAAACCGGCAGCTGTATCGCGTAAGTTCCGTACAGATGATAGTAAATATATGGTAGCATTTCTTAGTTTTGCATTGACGGTATTTTCTTGAAATGGTGCACTCTAGGCACATAAACCATGGGGACATCCACTGGTAACTGACGCGAAGGATACTTTCTATTGGCTTTCCCTCTGAGCTTTTTGGACACCCTTTAGTTTCTGATACCATTAGCTTTCCATGAGGATATGAATATATATATTTGTTTAATTTGAAAGCTTAATTGCGCTTTGTTAATTATAACGCAAAGGATACTGACACGAATTGCTGTATTGAGCATATGATCTGCTTTATCAGATCTTTAGACATCTTTGTTTCATGAATGTGAATTTATCCCTTTAATTCCAGTGACTCTAAGTACGGTTTACGAAGGTACCAGAAGCGTCCTACTCAGAGATACGTTTTGCGTTCGACACATATAGGCCTACAGCCCCACCACATCCATGCCAAGATTGCCTCCTATGCCGACGTTTGTCTGCTCTTTTGCAGGGACGACATTTAGTGCGGAATGTTTTGTTTGCTTTTGGTTGGAACATTCTGCCCCAAAATGTATATCAAATTAAAAGTCGAATAAAATAACTTTGTATTTTTGAAACTTCTCATAGAAATTAATTCCATACTAAGCGTCCGTCCTGTATGATGCTGGTTTGCTTCTTTTTGTAATTGTATGTTACTAAATAGTAATACAGTACTCTATCTGATCATGGTGTTATGAGGGTAATTTATGTATACTTTTGGGTTGATACCCGTCCCTTTCCGAACCTGAATCGTTAAACTTAGAGTTTTCATTTAACAGAAATAATGTCTGTATAAAAATGATAGTGATTGTTTTAAAATTATCATATATTGATTTCCAAGAAGAGAAATTTTTGTTAATTGTCACTGAAAATATGTGTGGGAAAATCTGCAACTTGGCTCCTCGCTGTCAACTTGAAGTTGTACTCTTATTTATTTTAAATGGTGTTGACTTCTAGAAAGGAAAGACATCGCACCCGCATTACGTAAAATGCATACAGGAAACTTTAAATTACATTTTACCGTGTGGTCAGTCGAAAAAGAGGAAGAGATGTAGATCTACAAAAGATGCTGTAAATAAAACCTGTAAAGCCTGAGAAATCCCAACATTATGTAACGGGCAAATGTAGGCCTACCCACGTTTCTGCAGAATTGTCCTCATGTACTGTAAAAATCTTTTAACAATTATGAATATGGCACTGTGACTGTGAATAAACTTCCTCTGGTTCTCGGTATTTTCAATGCTGGGCGGGATCAAATATCGTTTTCTGAAACAAAGTTAGACCATGGGGTGGGGTAAAGATTGCCATCCAAAATAAAAATTAATTTGATATTGCAGTAGTAGAATGGAGGCCTTTGTTGCGTATATGCCAAGAAAACTGTTCCAATATTTGGCTACAAAAAATTCCCAGGATTGGGATCATTTATATGCCTTTTAGGACTTAAATTAAAAAACAGAAGTGTCAAAAAGCAAAAACGGAAAATGGGCTTCATTAAGATGTCGTTTGTCCATTAAAATTTTCAAAATCACTTGAGCTATCGCAATGCCCAATTTTCGGGAGGTAATGAGTATTTTGAAAGGATTCGATGAATTTTTAGGTCGTCAGCTTTTGTCAGTTTTGCCAAAAAAAAAAAAAAAAAAAAAAAAAAAAAAAAAAAAAAAAAAAAAGATAATGAAAACTTAAAAATTAATATTTCTCTAACAAAATCTATAGAATTTTTAAAATTAGATTATAGGATTTATTACTTTTTATGTGTTACACTAAAATTCATTCTGTTTGGTCAGTTATTTAAGGATTATACGGAATTGCCATCTAAAATGTTATTTCAAACTATTCTGTTCCTCTAAATGGCTAATTCAATATTATACCAAAGTGTATGTAAACCTTATATTTCGTTTAGTTTGCATTTTTTAAAGTGAAAAACATGCCCAAAATGTGCTAGAGGAGCGCTCTTATTAAAGTTGTTCTGTATTCTTGTGCATTTTAATTTTATCGGGAGCAAGACAGGATTGGTCAGATATCAGTCCTGCTTCCCCATGTTTTTTGTGCATGGTGTCATCACTGAAAACCCAGAACCAGAGTAAATTTTATGTGAAGTACACTAATTTTTACAATATTTTTTAAAGTTTTGTTTGTATACTTTTCTGAATTTGGCTAAGACTTGGATAATCTTGTAAACCGTCTATGTTTTAATGTCGCTTCGGATTCCCTTGCTTTGCAAATGTAAATTTTCATCCACAGTTACGGCTATATGATACCTATTTTCGGATTTAGTGCAAAGTAAACAGAATTTTAAAAAATCGGTTGGCAAACAACCAGAAATCTTACAAGCATGAAGAAAATTTGGTTACTGTTCGATTTGGTTTGCAAATATCAACAAGACGACATAGGAAGCGTGTGCATTTGTATGCGCGCGTGCGTTTGTGCATGAATGACGCTTACAGTAGATAATTTGCATTTTTAAAATTGTTACAACCGCTGAATTTGGACGGAAATGTTTTTTTATATATAATTCAATGAAGACCAGACACTAATGTCAACTTCGAAAAAAAGTTGCCAAGTACAGATTGTGAAAAAATCCTTTTTGTCTATAATCAGTTCTTGTCAGTCTTTCAAATGTCACGACCTTGAAATTTTTGTTTTCAAAAATAAAAGGATTCCGTTTTTAGTAACAATGTTCAAAATCCATAAATATTTCGACGTGTTTTTTTTTACAGATATATACTGTCTTTTCTCTGTTTAATTTTAACTTATGTAAATTAAGAGCACATAATGTTATATTACCATGATTTTTTGTATAAATATTAATGCTGTAAATAATTAATTTTGACAATAATAAACGTACAAAAGCTTTACTTCGTTCAAAACTTTCAAAAGTAATTTCACATTTCCTAGATTACTGCGAACCCTTCACCTCCTGCTTCCTATTCTGCCGTCCTATATACTGAGCCCCTGACTCCACTTGCATTACAACGGTCGCAGAACCTTCTTGTCGGACATAGAATTTTTCGTTTTGATTTTATTTTGCAAAAGGTAATTCGCTTGGACCCAGAAGCGCCAGGAAACGAACCCTTGCCCTGCTGACTTTGAATAACGCATGTTATCCACTCTCCTTAGTGTTCCTACCCACCCTCGTCTGGTAGATTTTTATTTTGTAGTAACTTGAGGGAATTTTAAGAGCCCCTTTGAAGAAGAATTTAATACGTTCCAAGTACCCCAGCCTAAGAGTTTCGCCAAGCCAAAGAAAACGCTAAGCCATTTTGCATAAAATTAAAAATGTCTTTATTTGGAGCAGAATAAACTGCTGATGTATTCTCATATTTTCAAACATCACTGGTTTTGAATATTCAGATACGTAAAACAAATATATTGGTATCTGCATTAAGAGTGGCTCAAGTCTGATTTGATGAATAAACTTTTTAATAAACTACTTGACTAATGTTTGATCTTGTTATAATATTAAATATTTTTTCAGGTGAAATGACAATAAGGTCTTCTGATTTCATTTTAACAAAAACAACGGCAGATCTAGTAGCTGTCTCACCCCGCGCCACGGCAGGAAAAAAAATGAGAGACTCTGATATCACACAATTTTTTAAGTCACAAAGAATTTGAAAATGTGACACCCTTTTAAAATTTTATGTATCTGCCATTGTTTTTGTTTTATTTAACCATTAGGTGCTGTGGAATTTTTTCAGGATATGACTTTTCCTACATTTAATACGACGTAAAATGCTATTACTTGAAGGAAAAACACATTTTACTATGTTTTGCAAAAAATTGTCACTAGCCGTATGTGATATAATTTCAACATTAACCAACATCAACCGATACGTTAAACTATACTATAAGAGATACACTTCATGGGATT